CCTATGTACACAAGAATGCAAAATATAAAATGATCTGAATTAGACCCTGATCACCAAGCACATAAAATTGAAGTTAGGCATGTGTTAACTCGGTTCCTTCCACTTCTTCAGTGTTCCAATGAGGAGCTCTCTATCTACTGCCAGTGCTAGGACATTTCATCAAATGGAAAGAAGCCTGGGAAAGGCAAGCAATTCTGATAATGAGCTCCTACAGCCTGTATTAGGGGCTGCCTTAAGAAGGGAAACATCATTCTGGTGAAAATCTTTGGGGCAAGTTAAGCACCTAGTCGCCACCTTACGTGCTTAAATTAGATTGACTTCAGCTGTTCCTGGAAAGAATTCAGCACAGTCACTCACGTTTTGGTTCTCTTCTACACAGCTCTATTCAGAGACACACTACATGAGGCATGTTTAGAAATAAAGAAGCACTTTGACCTGGAATTTATATTCTTCCAAGTAACCTGTTGGTCTTGTAGATAAAGGAAGTCCACAGATGGTAAATGTACATTTGTTAACGGTGAGTGCTAGGGACTAAAATGTGTCCTAACCTAAATCCATAAGTTGAAACTCTAACCCCCAATGTAACTACATTTGGAGATAGAGTCTTTAGGAGGTTATTAAGGTTAAATGAGGTCATAGGAGTGGAGCCCCAATCTGATAGGACTGTGGCCTTATAAGAAGACTTCAGAGAGAAAGAGAGGTCCCCCCACAGCTCTCTCTCTCCATGTGAGGACTCAGGGAGAAAGTAAGTATCTACAAAGCAGAAAGAGAATTCTCACCAGAAACTGAACTCTGCCAGACCTTGCTCTTGGACTTTCCAGCCCCCAGAACTGACAGAAAGATAGGTTCCTGTTGTTTAAGCCACCTTGCCTATGGGATTTTGTTATGGCAGCCCAAGCTACTAATACAGTGAGTCTAAGGGATGCTGCAGAGATGGTGCCGATGTGTAGAGTGCTGCCAGCTCATCCACTTATCCTTGCACATCTGAACACGGCAGTAGATGAGGCACACCACGCTGTTAAATTGTTTAAACTTGGACTTGACACATGTGATGAGAGTCCAATCTGAATTTCCCATCTTGGTATTACATTTGAGATTAGCAGGTCCATTGATGTTGTGATATTTTAATAGGTAGTCTGAATGTGAACTATCTCTAATCAAGCAAGTTCCTTCTGACGACTTTTTAGATTTCTCTTTGGCTTCATTAACTGTCATACCACTCTAGTACTATTCTGGGTGAGCTCCTGCAGGGCCTTCCCCAGATGCACTGCCTCCTGAGACCACTCCTCAACCCACCCAAGGTCCCTCCTCATCTCTACGTCCCTCCTCTGCCATTCCTAGAGACCTCCAGTCACAGCAGGTTATGGGAGAAAGGTCACCTTGGCAAGGACAGGTGTCCATGGAGCTGGGGTCAGAGAGGGGCACATGTCCTTCCTGGAAGTTAGTGGGAACCCCAAAACAACTCCCTGCAGTGTGTGCGAAATGGTGGTGGAGGGAGAGGGACGGCGAGCTGCTGGTTCTTCCTCCCCAGGTCCGGTTGGACTGATGGCAAACTACCCCCACAGGTGCAGTCACCCACAATTCGCATGCCTCCAGCCTGCATCCGAGTACTTCTCGTGTTGGGGCTGCAAATGCGTGAGATCGTAAGACTGTACACTTCCAGGCCTGGTGTGTGCCTTCTGCAGCCCTGGCAGTGCAGGCGACTGCAAGCTAGCAGGCTCATGCTTCAGGGGGAAGCCCAAGGCCTAGGAGCCATGGCCATGACCTACACAATTGATTTTTAATTACATTTATTGATTACTGCCAGTTTGGGCATTGTTTCTTGAATTCCATGGTTTACTTCTGAATTCACCCTTTTTCTAGTCGAAATATCTCTCTTCTAATTGTTATTTCTATGATCATCTATGATCAAGAAACTCTCTTGGTTTTTATCTGAAAACATGTTTTATTTCTCCTTGACTATTTATTAAGGGTAAGAAAATCTTGGTTGAGGTAATTTTGATATGCTCTCCTGCCAGCCTATAAGGAGAGGTTAACAACAACTCTAATAATACACATTTCTTAATAGAACTAACAAAGTACAAACAACAAGCATTTAAAATGGTCAGTGTTTGAAACTGGTTGCTTCTTTTATCCCAGAATTTTGAACTCCAGTCAGGAAAGGCTGCTATTAGTATGGGCATGTTAATTCAACAAATACTTCATGACATAACCATGCTTGATACCAAGGGTGAGACAGAGTAATATTATTCTATGCCCGAGGAGAACATATTATCTCGGGATAGACAGTGTAGTACAGATGTCAGACCAGGTAGAGGCCATCCATGCAGGACAGTCAGCAAGTCATCAGTGCGAGGGGAACACTGATCTCCTGCTTACAGGGTGTGAGATCTTGGATAAGTTTCTTAACCACACTGAGCTCCGCTTTTACTTTTTTAAAAGATGGATGAATGTATTGTTCACTTTATAGGATTGATATGATAATTCAATTAAATGGGATAAAATCCTTGGTTCAACATATGTACTTCGACAACAGTAATTTTCTTGAACTGGACATTCATTAGGCAGAGGCTAAACAGGAGGAAACCCCAAGAAACGAATCTTGGCTTGAAATATACCAGGATCACTCACCAACTATTATTGAGCACTGCCAATTTTCCTACCAATTTTCCAACACTATTAGTGATAAATTTGCTGGGTTTTACCCATCAGATAGACCCCAAATTGTATTCACTTTAGTTTGTATTTCTTACTTTCATTACAAATGTGGTCAATCTTCTTTGCATTAGTATATTCAACCTTTTTTTTTTTCTGGGAATTGCATCTTTTTATCTTTTGTCTACTTTTTTTCTATTTGGGTTTTGGCCTTTTAATTTTTGATTTGTTACACTTACCGTATCTTAAGGAAATTAGCTTGGACATGTTCAATAATGGTAGATTATGGAAAAGCAGATAAATGAAGATAGTTCAATAAAAGTGGATGAATGATAAGTCATGCTAAAAATAATTTTTATAGATGAAGATGCTAAAAGTGAGATAGTTAAATAACTCACTGAATTTTTGTACTGGTTAGTTAGCTAGGGTTTTAATCTAGGCCTAATTGACCAAAAGCCCATGCATGGAAAGATTAAATTTGTTTTCCTACATACCAAGAAACAGAAATCAACAGCATCCTCCGTGTGCATGTGTGTGTGTGTTTATTATCATTGAAGGAATCCTGGAATTACTGTTCATGCCAGATTCATATTCCAGCCAGTCATATATTCGTCATGTGAATTTGGGCAAGGTACTTAAACTTTATAAGCCTCACTTTCCTCACTTGTAAAAGGGAGATGATAACAATTACTTACCTCTCCACACCTAATTTTTCTCATCTGGATGATCCTCATACAGATTAAATGTTGTAAAGATTATATGTTCTCACTGAAAGGAAAATGAAATGAGATCACATATGTAAAGCGGCCGTCCCTAATAGGTCACTGGGCCCGTTCTTTTCTTTCTTTGTCTTGTCTTGCAGAGTGATTCCTTAATTAAACATGAGGTGGATCACAGAGAAGAAGGTTTCTTTTGCCTCCTCAACTCACACAGCAGCCTAATCCAGTCTCCACCTAAAATATGGGTGGAATTTGCAAACGTTCCTGGATGGATGTTCCTCCTGGGGAGAATTTATGACAACTTTTCCAAAACTAAAGCTTCAACTCTTTATTATATTCTGTTAATGACTCAGTGGACTTTTGGCAGAAAGGACGAGTTTCCTTTGGTTCAGACGCTTCTATAGAGGGTTCTGATTACTCTATCCAATGGTCTAAAATCAAAATAACATATGCAATCTTTGGCTGAAAAAGCTTACTCGTGGTGTTATAACAATAATTCCTCTCCTTGTTTTTATATAACCTTTTGGAAATATTCCTGTTGGAGCCAAAATTTCTATATTTTGGAAACTTGGCCTATGGATGGAGGATGGCTGAAGTATTCCATTTATTTTCCTTTCAGGGGGTACTAGAACAGGCAGAATGTTTGTTAGGCTATTTCTTAAAGAAAATTTTGTAGGGCAATCCAATTTAATGTGGAATAAAGCCCTTTTCTCTGACTTCCATGTCATAATATATATTCATTTCAAGAGGTTTTTCCTGACCACCCAATTTAAAGTAGCTCACACCCCCAGCAGTCACTTTCTGTAAAGGGCCAAATAGTAAATATTTTAGGCTTGCAGACCATATGGTCTCTGTTGCAGCTACTGAGCTCTGTCACTGTAGCATGAAAGCAACTATAGACAAGATGTAAACAAATGAGCATGGCGGTGGTCCAATAAAACTTTAATTATAGACACAAATTTGAATTTCCTATAACTTTCATCTGTCACTAAATATTATTCTACTTTTGATATTTTTCCAACAATTGAAAAAATTTAAAAACCTTTCTTAGCTCACAGACCATACAAAACCAGGTGGTGGGCTGGGTTTGGCCAGCCTTCTGTAGTCTGACCCCTTGATCTACTCATGTATTTATATCGCTTCTACACTGTTTTGTGGTGGAATCCAAGCTTTGTCCCTGCGAAAGCAGAGACGTTATGTGTCCTGTGTTCTGAGCACAGCACCAGAGGTATTCAGTAAATACGTGTTGAAGGTGTAAATCTGCAGCTTTCTGGTAAGTCAGTTCCTCTAAATGAAGTAATTAGTTTAATGGGTATAGCATATTGAATTCTCTAAGTGATTTATATGTTTTTTCAAATAAATTTTATATATCCCTAGGATTTCATGGTGAAGAGACAGTATAGAAAAGTGTTTTAAGCTTTGGAGTTATGAAGGCTAGGCTGCTCTATCAGTTAGTGTTTGTGATGTTGACTAAGTTACTATACCTGTCTTGTTTTCTCAACTATAAAGAGGATAGTTACATTACCTATTTTATAAGATTGATGGTGGGGTTTCTGCTTGAACTTCCATTTGCCTCTCTCCAAAACCACTCCTAACTCTTCTCCACCCTGTTCTGTATTTTGGCAGGTCAACACATGAGGACCACATCGGTGGTATACCTTGTCCTCCAGATTCCAATTGGGTTTTGCAAATGGCGGAAAGGAGAAGAATGAGGTAAGAATATTTATTCTCTTAGCTTGCCCCTGGGTTTCAGGACTGGCTTTGTTCCTGGAGGAAAAGTGTCAGCTCACAGAATTACAAATTTATGGATGTTCTGTAATGCACCTAATCAGTCCACCTATTAGTGAGAACAATCCTGTTGTTAGTGCCAGGGTATTGCACTATACCCCATGGTTTCTCTATACTCACAACATTAAAAATAGTGTCTTTATGAAAGTCTCAAATAATCCTAAATTCCTGCTGCGACCCTGAGCTTATGCTAAAATGCTTGAGAATAAATGGTAGCTCAAATTGAAAGTATTCTTAGAAATCTGATTGCCTTCTTTGAAATTATATTAAAATAACAAATGATTCCTCTCGATTCACGTTTCTCTACAGAATCACAACTGGCGGTGCCTACAAGGTACATCCCAGCTTGCTGGAAAATTTTTTTTTCACAAGGTATTTATTTATTTATTTATTTGAGGAAGATTAGCCTGAGATAACTACTGCCAATCCTCCTCTTTTTGCTGAGGAAGACTGGCCCTGAGCTAGAATCCATGCCCATCTTCCTCTACTTTATATGTGGGATGCCTACCACAGCATGGCTTTTGCCAAGCAGTGGCATGTGTGCACCTGGGATCGGAACTGGCGAAGCCCGGGCCGCCGAAGTGGAACTTGTGCACTTAACCGCTGCGCCATTGGGCCGGCCCCTCACAAGGTATTGAAAATCAGGAAAGTTTACATCAAAATTTGATTCTTCAAATTCTCTTGAAAAGATCACACTTTCTGGCTACCCAGGCTGGCCCACTTCACGGAAACTGGAGCTGAGTAGCCGTTACTCCATTCACAGCTCTGGTCCCCAGCCTTCCCTATTATGCAATGCTTCTATTTCTGTGTTTTATGTTAACTACCTGGCCACTGTGGACATTTTCTTAGAGAATTAAGAGGTAAAGTCTTCAGCCAACTAGGGGACTGGTGGGAGGTATAGGTGGGAGGAGAAGGTGTTGGTGCTTTGAAGAGCAAAATGGGGTGTACAATCATCTAGGAGAGTGGGAGAGTGACAAGACCCACGGGGTTACAGTAGGATTACAAGGTGGGACTAATGGTCCTCTTGGGATTTGGGGCTATAAATGGAAAGAGTGATTCATGAGCAGGACTGTGTGCATTTGTCCATCCCCTTCAGACCCTCTGAGCAGATGCGGAACAGATGGCAAGTTGGACTTGACCAGGCTAGGGTTTAGCCCAGAGAGAACCATGAAAGCAAGAGAAGCCAGAGATGAGGCTTTTTGTGAGGGAAGGAATATAATGGTGGGTCATGGATGAAATCTAGGCTGGTCAAAGAGGGAGTGAGGACAGGAAGGGGTGGTGGACAGTGAAAAAGGGGAGCAGCATGGTTAAGAACAACCACGGTGCACAGTGGAGCCAGACTGCATGGACTTGGGTCTCATCTCTACCCATATTAGCTGAGTAAATATCTCTATATATGTTGTGTGTGTGTGTGTGTGTGTGTGTGCATGTGACAAAGAAGGAGTTAATTTAGAATACTGCCCGGTACATGGTAAGTGCTGTGGAGTGCTTCAAGGATGATTTTCCTCCCCTACGTTGAATTTGATTTTAAAAATAAGACTTTAATTGTTCAATTAATAAATATTTATGGAATATCCATAATGTCAAAGAACATTAAGAGATATGTTGTGGGGCCAAGATAAGTCAGATATGATGCAGATCAGAGAACCACAGAGTGTCTTTGGGCAAGCAGGAGGGATAAGCCCCGTAAGAGAAAACACAGAGATGGCTCTGTATGTGGGGGTGTTCCTTAAAGACCTGGTCAGTGTTGGACACGCAGCAAGAAAAAACAGGCAGCTTCCATGTGGAGTTCATCAGTAGGGCTGAGCTGGGATTTTGTGGATTTTTCCAAAATTGCCTTTGAAGCAGAGACTGAAATTTCCCTAAAGGCTGATTCATAGAAAGAATTTCTGATAGCATACCAGTCCAAGAAGGGAAATATTTTGAGGAGGTGGACACTTTTTTGCTAACCAGTTTTTGTTTTTAAGAAAAAATTCTAGGAGGTGTATTTGGTAAATATATCAAGCAGTAGAAAAGGCTATAGAGTCACAACGAACTTTCCACCCAACACTTTGCCCCCTTTCTAGAGCAATCACAGTTGCCAATTTTTTGTCTATCAAAAAATATTCTTTTTAATTGTAACACATGTGCTTACACACATCTTTTTTTTTTTTACATCTATTGAAACACCCTAAACTGCATCTTCTGATTTTTCAGTAATGGGGATTGTTCCCAATAAATTCGACAAAGTTTTCCACTTTCTGGATGTGCTATAAGGCACTTCATCAGTCCCCGTTTGGTACACATTCACCTACTTTCTAAACTTTTGCTCTTACAACCAATATGGCCACAAAAGTCATAGTATATAATTCTTTTGTACATGTGCAGGTTCCCTGCAGATGAAAATGAAGTTGTGAGATTATGCACTTTAAAAGAAATTACATATTTAGAATACTGGTAGATATTGCCGTATTGCCCTCCAAATAGATTATACCAATTCATGCTCCCACGAACAGTGTGGGAGGGAGAACGATTGTTTCAGAGTCTGACCAACACGGAAAATGTTTCATTATGTCCACTCTATAAAGTAAATACTCTTTCTGTTTTATTATAGTTCTATAATTCTGAGGGAAGTTAAACATCTTTTTGTGAAAAAGAAAAATGTGTATTTCTTTTCCTATAGAACATTATTTGAGTCCTTTGTCCATGAGCTAGTGTCTTTTGTTAATTGATTTGTAAGAAAAATTTATTTAAGGACCGTATTCCTTGGTCTATCATATTTGCTGCAAATATTTCCAAGTTATTTATGTATACTGAATTTGTTTATAGTATTTCTTGACAGGTAGAAACTTTAAAATTTTATGAGGTTAGATTTATCAGTCTTTTGGGAATTCTGAATATATACCTTGCTGAGAAAGGGCTTTCTACTACAAGATTACAAGAAAAAATTCATTTTCGTCTTAATTTTGAGCTATTCATATCAAAAGTTTTGTATAAGTGATAAATTAGGAACTCATCTTAATTTATTCTTTTCACAGTAGGTTGTCCAAACACCATTTATTGAATATTCCGCCTTTAACACACTCATTTGGAATGCTGATATTAATCAAAATCTATATACCCATATTTTGAGTCTCATGCAAGATTCTGCTTTTTTCCTTTGATATTTCTATTCATGCACCAGTATCATACTCTTTTACTTGTAGAAGTTTTATAATAATATGTAATAATATAGTCTGTTCCTTTAGCTTCCTTTTTCAAAATTTTCCCGCCTAATCTTAACCTGAAGTATAGATTCAGCATGTCTCATTTCAGGAAAACAATTCTATTGCTAATTTTGTTGGAATCACATTCAATTTATAGATTCACATAGGGTGAATTAGCTTCTTTACAATTTTGCATTATATTAACTAGAACTGAGCATTACTTCCCATTAATTTAAATTGTATTTTCTGGGTTTTGGGTCACTTTAAAGTCTTTTTGAAGTTCTGTCTATATGCTAGTAAAGCATTTTAAAGTTTATTCATATAAATCTAGCGCATTTATACTTATTTCTATTTCCGGGTATTTATTTCTTACCTTGCTGATTTTGTTTAACAGATTTTTATTTAAGTAACATAAGTATATCTTATTCAAACATAGTAAGGCCAACAGGGCTTTAGATATTCATTTCTAAATTCTTCTTATAAATTCTCTCATTATTTATAATGGTTTTCCCGGTTGATGCTTTTGAATTTTCCAGGCTTATGAAATTATCCAGATATGTGAAAGTTGAAAATTTTCCCTTCTCTTTTAGAATTTTTATACCTCATATTTGTCATGGCTCAATTCATTGGAAAGAATTTCCCACAGAATTTTAGGTAATAGGAGTGATAATCAACATCCTTGTTTTATTACTTAATTTAATGAGAAGATTTTTGTGTTTCAATATTAGGCATGTTGCTAATTAAGTATTAATGTATTCTTACTTATCAACTTGTTATTCAAGGATGATGCTGGCTTCTAATGAAGCACTTTGTCAGCATCATCAGACACAGTATATTTTCTTGCCTTGACCTGTAATTAACATGGAAAAATATATTGCTACATTGAATTTCTTGAATGGATCACATCTGAATAGTCTCTCTCAATCTTTTATTAAGCTGCTGAATTCTGTTTGCTAACACATTTTAGGAATTTTGCATCAATGTCCGTAAGTGAAAGCCATCTGTAGTTTCATTTTATTGCGCTGCCTTTATTGAGTTTTAGACCAATGTTTTCCTACATTTGTAAAAACTCTTTAGAAGCTTTCACTTTCTCTTTATGCTTTCAAACAACTTAAATCACATTCCTTAGATATTTGGTAAAATTTATATCTGAAATAAATTGATGCTGATGCTTTTTCGAGATAGCTTTTCATGAGGTTCTTCATATCTTTTGTTGCATTCCATATATTTTCTAGAATATTATGCTTTATGGTCAAAGCTTTTAATTTATTTGCATAAGATTAAGAAAATGATCCTCATATATTTCTTAATATCCTCAATAGGCACGGTTGCTTATTCCAATGTCTTATTTTTGTATTTATTGCTGTCTTCTTCTTTGGCTTTCAAGTATTACGTCTATTTTGATATATTTTTCAAAGAAATCAGGCGATCATTTTTCTTAGTTTTAACTTTTTTTTGAGTTCTAACACATATATTTCAAGAAGGTAGGCATATTGGTAGTAATTCACAATCTATCATTCATCTTACACTTATTGACTACTCATGATGTCTCTGGCACTAGGTGCATGTTATAGAACACAAGAAGGCCTCCAACTTGCTCTTTGCCTTCAAGGACTTTAAGCCAGTGGGCATGTTCATGAATAATTAAAGCATAAGAGTAGCATCAACCTGGGAATTGATAAGAAAATGGAGAGACTGAAGGTCCCTCAGCTAGAAAGTAGCAGAGCAGGTTTTTAAACC